CTCCTCTGCGGGATCGATTTTCCAGAGGAAAATTAAAAATTATCAGTGCCCCTGCTCCGATTCTGGTCAGGAATGTGGATTTGGGGGGATTTCTTTGGATTTGAAGGGATTTCCTTGGATTTGGGGGAATTTCTTGGGATTTGTGAGGGAGATTTCCTGCATTTTGGGAGGATTTCCTGGATTTTGCGGGGATTTCCTTGGATTTTGGGGGAATTTCCTTGGATTTCGGGGACTTTCTTTGGATTTTGGGGGGATTTCCTCAGATTTGTGGGGAAATTCCCTTGATTTTGGGGAAATTCCTGCATTTTGGAGGGATTTCCTTGAATTTGTTGGGATTTCCTGGATTTTGGGGAGATTTCCTTGATTTTGGGGAGATTTCTTTGGATTTGGGGGAATTCCTTTGGATTTGGGGAGATTTCCTTGCATTTGGGGGGATTTCTTTGATTTTGGGGAATTTCCTTGATTTTGGGGGGATTTTCTGAAAATTGTGGGGATTTCCATGGATTTGGGGGGATTTCTTTGGATTTGGAGGGATTTCCTCAGATTTGTGGGGAAATTTCCTTGATTTTGGGGAAATTCCTGCATTTTGGAGGGATTTCCTTGGTTTTGTGGGGGTTTCCTGGATTTGTGAGGGAGATTTCCTTGATTTTGGGGGGGATTCCTTGGATGAGCCAACTCCGAGTAAATTCCTCTCTTTTTTCCATGTGGACATTCCCAAATTTCTCCAGGATGCAGCAAATTGAGGCTGGGAGCTTTCAAGGCTTTTCTCCCTCAAAATTTTCCTTTTTCTCTCAAAAATCTTCCCTTTTCCTCACGAAAATCTTTCCCTTTTCTCCTCAAATCTTCCCTTTTTCTTCCTGAAGTTTTTTCCTTTTCCTCCCTCAAATCGTTCCCTTTTTCTGCCTCAAATTTTCCCCTTTTTTTCTCTCAAATCTTCCCTTTTTCTTCATCAGTTTTTCCCCTTTTGCCCTAAAATCTTTTCCTTTTTCTTCCAAAAAATTTTCCTTTTTCTCTCTCAATATTTTCCCTTTTCCTCCCTCAAATCTTCCCCTTTTTTCCCTCAAATCTTTCCCTTTTCCTCCCTCAAATTTTTCCCTTTTCCCCTCTCAAATCTTCCCCTTTTCCCCTAAAATCTTCCCATTTTTTCTCCCTCAAATCTTTCCCTTTTTCCCTCAAATCTTCTCTTTTCCTCTCAAAAATCTTCCAGTTTCCTCCTCAAATTTTTCCTTTTTCTCCATCAAATCCTCCCTTTTCCTCCCTCATTTTTTTCCTTTTCCTCCTTCAAATCTTCCCTTTCCTTCCCTCAAATCTTTCCTTTTTCTCCCTCAAACTTTCCTTTTTTCTCCCTAAATTTTTTCCTCTTTTCCCCTAAAATCTTCCCCTTTTCTGCCAAAAATCTTTCCCTTTTTCTCCCTCAATGTTTTTTTTTCTTTTCCTCCCTCAAATTTTTCCCTTTTCTCCCAAAAATCTTTCTTTTTTCCTTCCTCAATTTTTTTCTCCTTTCCCCATCAAATCTTCCCTTTTTCTTCCTCAACTTTTTTTCCTTTTCTCCCTAAAATCTTTCCTTTTTCTCCCTCAAATTTTTCCACTTTTCCCCTAAAATCTCCCTTTTTCCCCCCAGTAACGCTCCCGAGGACCCTCCGGATCCGGGATGAGCCCAGCAGGATCCAGAGGCCAAACATGGATCAAATTCCCATCAATTGTCCATCCGTCCGTCCGTCCGTCATTCCGGAGGGCTTGGATCAGGTATCCCGCTTTTTTCCAACCCTCCAAAATCCATGAATTATTCATGGAGCGCCGGGATCAGATTCCGACCCCACTGCTCCCAACCCTCCCCCTCCTCCAGCTGGATCAGGGATGGGCCGGAGTTCTGGGCTGGTTTTAATGGGATTTTATAAATTCCCTGTTTTTAAGGGATTTCCTATTCCATAAATTACCTATTTCCATAAATTCCCTATTCCATGCATTCCCTATTCCATGCATTCCTTGTGGGATGTTCCCAACCTTTTCCCTCCTCTCCGAACCAGGAGCCAAAGTTTCAGCCCCACTTTAGTGGGAATTCCTATTCCATAAATTCCCTATTCCATCAATTCCTTATTCCATACATTCCCTATTCCATATATTCCCTATCCCATAAATTCCCCGCATTCCTTATGGGATGTTCCCAACCCTCCCCCTCCTCCAGCTGGATCGGGGATGGGCCGGAGTTCTGGGCTGGTTTTAATGGGATTTTATAAACTCCTCGTTTTTAATGGGATTTCCTTTTCCACATATTCCCTAGTTCCATAAATTCCCTATTCCATACATTCCCTATTTCCATAAATTTCCTATTCCATAAATTCTCTGTATTCCTTATGGGATGTTCCCAAATCTCTATTTCCTCTCTGAACCAGGGAGAGTTTCAGCCCTGTTTTAGTGGGAATTCCTATTCCCTAAATTCCCTATTCCATACATTCCCTATCCCATAAATTCCCTGCATTCCTTATGGGATGTTCCCAACCCTCCCCCACCTCCAGCAGGGTCGGGGATGGGCCGGAGTTCTGGGCTGGTTTTAATGGGATTTTATAAATTCCCTGTTTTCCCTAAATTCCCTATTCCATACATTCCCTATCCCATAAATTCCCTGCATTCCTTATGGGATGTTCCCAACCCTCCCCCACCTCCAGCAGGGTTGGGGATGGGCCGGAGTTCTGGGCTGGTTTTAATGGGATTTTATAAATTCCCTGTCTTTATGGGATTTCCTTTTCCATAAATTCCCTACTCCATACATTCCCTAATTCCATAAATTTCCTATTCCATATATTCCCTATCCCATACATTCCCTGTATTCCTTATGGGATGTTCCCAACATTTTCTCTCCTCTCTTCCATCTCCTCTTCCATCTCATTCCTGGGCAAGAACGATGGGTTGGAATTCCAGCCCTGTCCTGTTTTAATGGGATTTCACAAATTCCCTGTTTTTATGGGATTTCCTTTTCCATATATTCCCTATTCCATACATTTCCTATTCCATAAATTCTCTGTATTCCTTAAGAGATGTTCCCAAATCTCTATTTCCTCTCCGAACCAGGGCGAGTTTCAGCCCCATTTTAGTGGGAATTCCTATTCCATAAATTCTCTATTCCATACATTCCCCATTCCATAAATTCCATCCGTTCCTTATGGGATGTTCCCAACCTTTTCCCCCCTCTCTTTTCCTCCTCTTCCATCTCATTTCTGGATTTCTGGACAAGGAGCATGGGCTGGAATTCCATAAATTCCCTATTTCACACATTCCCTATTCCATAAATTTGCTATTCCATAAATTCCCTGCATTCCTTATGGGATGTTCCCAGCCCTCCCCCTCCTCCAGCAGGATCGGCGATGGGCCGGAGTTCTGGGCTGGTTTTAATGGGATTTTATAAATTCCATGTTTTTATGGGATTTCCTTTTCCATATATTCCCTATTCCGTACATTCCCTATTCCATAAATTCTCTGCATTCCTTATGGGATGTTCCCAACCCTCTATTTCCTCTCCGAATCAGGGGCCGGAATTTCAGCCCCATTTTAGTGGGAATTCCTATTCCATAAAT